GGTTAAGAATCGAGTGAGATCTTAGGGTTTGATCACAGACGATTCTCGGTTCACCGTCTTATGAAGAAAACAAACTGATGTCGTCGGTTTCTATGTATTTGAAACGGACGACCGTGATGGGGTCGAACGACATAATCAGACGAAATGGGGAGCGAACTGCGAGACACCGTGATCGTCAGGTGGAAAGTGCATCCAATCACATAGTGTCGCACAACCATTTGACGACTCTGCGGTTCGAGTAAGCACTAATGTGGATAAGTCAAGATTTTTGAATTAATCAAATTTATAAAATGCCTAAAAATTTAAATATTCATAACTTTGAAAATAAAAATAAAAAAAATCAAATAAAAATACCTCTGAACTCAGTGAAAAAAGGGGAAAATAATGAAAAAATATAAAAAAATTAAATTATATTTAATTATTAATTAATTAAATACTTTAAAGAATATTTTAATTATTAAAAATTAAATATAAGCCCCAAAAATGTGAAAAATTTAGGATTCTTCCCTCTACCCTTGGGACACTCTTTGATTTTTCCAAAATCATTGGGCTTGCCTAACAACAAAATGATTAATTTTCTATCAAATTTGTAATTATTTTGAAAAATAATTATAAAAAATGTAAAAATTAACAATAAAAATGACAATTGAGTAGAAAATTTAGAATTGTGAAATTAACACCCCAAATAACAATTTCTACCCTTGAAAACCCTGAAATGAAAATTTAGGAAATTAGGGGTAAAATTATAAAATTAAAATTTTACACTTTGGTTCAAATTGCCCTAAAATTTAAACACTCAATCCAACCTTAGAGATCTAACCCAACAGGGTTCCTTAGGGTTTAACACTATGGTTGTCCCCCTAACAATGAAAACACCCTTAACGGTCAAGGGTTAGCCCAATTTGAACTTGGGCTTAGGCTAGGTCTAACCCAACTTAGACCTAGTCCAAATGTACTCACAATTGGACCCAATCAAATTGAGTTCAAGTCTTAGCCCTAGTCATATTTGACCTAGCTCATGTTAAACTTGGGTTTGATCTAGTTATAACCCAAATTAGACCTAAACCCTAAACCTTTCGGTCTAACCTAAATTTGACCTAAACTCAAAACCCTAGGTCTAACCTACATTAGACCTAACCCTAAATTTTAGGTCTAAACCACATTAGACTTAAACTAAAATAATTTTTAGGTCTGGACCAAATTAGACCTAAACCCTAACTTAAACAATATTAAATCCAGCCTTTAGGTCTAACCCACATTAGACCTAACTTAAACTCTAGGTTTAACTTACATTAGACCTAAACCTAAACTTTAGGTTTAACCCACATTAGACCTAACTTAAGTTCTAGGTCTAACTTACTTTAGACTAAACTTAAACACTAGGTCTAACCTACATTATAACTAACCCTAAATTTTTGGTCTAAACCACATTAGGCCTAAACCCTAAAGCCTTTAGGTCTAACCCAAATTAGAACTAACCACAACCCATAATTTCACTATGTCTAACTTAGCTTAGAATTAGTACAAATTTAAGCCCTACTAGGTCTAACCTACTTAGACCTAGTTAGAACCACCTTAGGTCTAACCCACATTAGACCTAGATATAAACCTTAGGTCTAACCAAACTTAAACGTAGCTTGAACCACCTTAGGTCTAACAGACATTAGACCTAAATATAAACTCTAGGTCTAACGTAACTTAGACCTAGCTTGAACCACCTTAGGTCTAACCCACATTAGACCTAGAAATAAACCGTAGGTCTAGCCTAACTTAGACCAAGCTTGAACCACTTAGATCTAATCCACATTAGAACTAAATATAAACCCTAGGTCTAACTCAACTTAGACCTAGCTTGAGCCACCTTAAATCTATTCCACATTAGACCTAAACATAAACCCTAGGTCTAATCTAACTTAGACCTAGCTTGAACCACCTTAGGTCTAACTTGCATTTGGCCTAACTTAAACCCTTGGTCTAACCTAACTTAGAACTTGCTCGAGCTACCTTCAGGTCTAACCCAAATTGGACTTAAATCTTATATGAAACCCCTTTGGTCTAAGCCACATTAAACGTAAAACATGAGCCGACCTTGGGTCTAAATTAACTTAGATATAAAACATGAATCAACCATTTGGGCCAAGGTATAAACCAACTTGAATGAAACGACATAAAATTCACCCTAAAATCCATTAAAACTTAAACTTGAACTCCAATACAACTTGGTTTGAGAAGTTACTTTGGACGAGGCAACCCATGACTGCTAACAAAATATCTTCCAGTCACTTGTGACTAATCAAACTACAAACCATGATGACTCAGGGACGAGAGAACCATGAAATCTTGATCGGGTCATCCAAAACAACAAAAATAAAACACAAAATGATAAAACAAAAAATTTAATTAGCTAAGAAGTCTTAAACAACCTAAATTTTGCAACCCCTAAAATCTGAAAAAGACATTAAAACTTAGATGAAACCCTAATGAACAAAGTCCATCGATTTCTACTTGAACCCCTGCCACATGAGTCCACAAAGATTTCCTGGAAGACCTAGCTCATGGTTGATGACAAGAATCTTTCTGTCGGAGTAGGTTTGACCACCTTTCAAACTAAGTAGATCAGGGAACTCGTCAACCTCGGGAGGACAAAAATCCATGGGCACCTTAATTGAGGTGTCCTAAATAAAAACAACAACCAATCAATTATTAATTAGCTAAGAAGTCTTAAACAACCTAAATTTTTCAACCCCTAAAATCTGAAAAAGACATTAAAACTTAGATGAAACCCTAACGAACAAAGTCCATCGATTTCTACTTGAACCCCACAAAGAATTCCTGGAAGACCTAGCTCATGGTTGATGACAATAATCTTTCTGTCGGAGTAGGTTTGACGACCTTTCAAACTAAGTAGATCAGGGAACTCGTCAAACTCGGGAGGAAAAAAATCCATGGGCACCTTAATCGAGGTGTCCTAAATAAAAACAACAACCAATCAATTAAATTAAAATATATTTTATGTTAACTTTGTTTTGTAGGGATGCTGAAGACAAAATACATACATCGCCATAGATTTACTTTGTATGTTATTAGAGTGTGCTAATTCTATTTTGCAGGGACAAACATTCAAAACCCATGACAAATGGAAGAATTTCGATTATTCCATTGACAACAAAACAAAACTCTAGAATAGTTTGGAATCTTGGCAGAATTCCTTGGAACCTTCAAGAATACACTACATTTATGATAAGACTTTGAAGCTCCTTCCTTTAAAACATTACATTTGAGCTTTTTGAGGATGAGTCACAACCTTAATCGGGAGTTTTTAAGCAATATTTAGACTTCTTAAGATGTAATTAACTATAAAACTTGCCATTATAAGAAGAAGCCCACCCCATAATAGGTACAATCATCTGAATCTCTAGTTATGGGTTTGCTATCGTCAAGTATTCTTCTTGAGTACACCTTCGAAGTGTCTTGAGTCGATATTACCTTGGATATACACTTTGGAGCTATCCATGCGAAGTCCACCACATGAAAGCTTCCTCACAAGTTTCTTTTGTTGTATGCCTTAGCCCTCAGATATCTTCTCTCTTCAAATCACCCACACGATCAGAGAGAGAGAGAGAGAGAGAGAGACTATACGACGGAAAATAAACTGGTGAATCTACTACAATGAGACGATGACGATAGTCGAGAACTAGATGGTTGGGCGATGAATCTACTACAATGACACGATGACGATAGTCGAGAACTAGATGGTTGGGCGATAAGTAAGTAATTAAATAACATTTTAATTCAACTTTAGAACAATATTTAGCAGCATTTGTTAGTTAGTAGTCAAGAAATAATGCTATTGAATGTTGAAGTTAATGGTCCCTTTCATAAGAAAATGAAATTAAATATTATCAGAGAGGTATTGCAGGTAAATTTAAAATATATTTATATGAAATAGAGATTTCTTTTTAAAATTTTCTTGGGATGAATGTAAATCCAAAAATAATATTAAAACTAATTGTTGAATTTATCTTGAGATGAATTCAATGCTATATATTTTTCAGCCAAGAAATTCTATTTTCCATACCAAAATTCATCATGATAGCTTGAGTAAAAATTTTCCTTTTTTAACATAAGGAGAGTAGGTTGTGAGCAGGAATCAGGAATGTAAATGTTTAAAAATAATACATGAATTAAGTAACCTTTATTATGAACATTTTATTTGTAAAATATAAAATTGAGAGTGCAATATAAAATTTATGAAGAAAAGCACGTGTTCTTTTTTTATTTTGGGGTTGTTTGATTTCATGTATTATGAGTGAACAATATAAGCAATGTAAATGTTATACATTTTAAGGTGTTTATTATTAAGTAATACAAATACAAAGTATTTTTTCCACAAAAGGCTCATTTCTTATTATTTTCAAATTTTCACGAACTGATTAAGTTCCAAAATAAATATTGCAGCATCAAAATCCAAAAGCCATCAAAATCCTATCACCTCATCCACTAACCATGCTAACCCTACCAACCCCATGACCCTACAACCTTATCCCTTATGACCCCCAAATCCACTATCAAGTTCATGACCCAAAAACACCACAACCTTGTCTATTGTTCGTGCCCATTCAAGCCCAACAATCCTATTCTCCTCATATACATCTTTCTCACTTCCATCACTCTGGCTCAACCTCATTAATTGTCCTCATGTTTGTCAACCCTAGGGCTAGCCATCCCCACAATTTTCATCCCACCATCCTTGCATAAGCCATCCCTAGAAGCCAATAAACCCAATTCATTGTTTTATGCCTATACTTGGCCCACATAATATTAATATATTTAAATGGTTGATATAATTAACAAAGCATAGACTTTAGATGTATTTTACAACCAACTAGCAATATATTATATTAATGTGCATGGTACATACATAGTACCTAAGTAATCTTTTGGGATAGTAAGAAGAAATTCCAAAATTGGACCCTTGCTTTAAATTTAAAATTCCCCATGCGTTTGAGCTTATCTCATAATCCGCGTTCTTTAATGATCCGTGCTGGACACACTCTCTTCGTCCCCCTCAACAAAGATCACCACGACACCAGTTAGAAGCCAACTGCAGTTGTCTGTTGTGATAGGCGAGCGCTTGAGGTTCCAAATCCCTGTTCTTTCGAGTCCAACTCGAATTCGATCATCTTCATTTCGCTTCTGCCAATAGAAGAATCATTCGTTCATATCCGATGGACATCGCCAGGAAGCCCATGCAATCTGTGTGGAGAACGGCCCTCCGACTCGCGCGGAGCAGGAGCATGAGTGCTGCTCCAGAGAAGATCGTTTCTTCTTCCTCCGAGGATCTTATCAGAATGGAACAGCAGCACAGTGCTCACAAGTACGCTGCCTTTTTTTTTATCTATTTTTGATCTGGGTTTGATTTTTGTTTCTGAGTAGATACCCTTTTTTTTTAAATTTATGTTGGGATTGTTTTTGGGGATTAAGATGATGACCGTTTTCATAGGCATCTTTTTTTTTGAATCAGGATGGAGATAGATGACAATTGTTTTTGATTTTTATTAGTCTGCTTAAGAATTTTGAATTCTGGACTTATGCTATTTCGTGCCATTGTTGAGTTGTGAAGTCTAATTTCAACCTTACGAAGAGAACGTATAATATTTTGCGAGTAGACCTTTATGATAAGTTTGCGGCATGGGTTGACGGAGCCCATCGTCAAATGTTGGGGGCAGAGGTAACGGGCATTCTAAGAATTTTTTTATAGGGTGGAGTTGACTTATGTTAAAAATTTGTGTTTTACTTCTCCGCAATCGATAATGAAACTTGCAGTGGGGAGAATATAATGTAGCCATTGTTTTTAATTGATCATATTTCTTGTTTCCTATTTTTTTCGCTCGCGCTTGCCTCGCGCTTGCTTGAATTTCATCTATTGCCTAATATCCTCATGTGCTAGCCTTTAGTATCCATTTCATAATTGTTTTTGTGCATTAATCTTAAAACACAACCCCTCTGATTTCTTCCTCCAAGATCTCTGTTCAACGCCTTTTGTGAGGTGAAAATTTGTCTCTAGAACTTTGTTTCCTTTCTAATTTTCTTTCTTCTCTAGGGTCCTATTTTGGGGACCTATCAATACGTCTTTAAACCTTAGAAGGATTGAAGATAAATTTGTCAATCGATAATCTTAAGGGAAATAAATTTTCAAAAAATTCATCATTCTTGGGTTCAATAATTGAGTTTGACCTTATAACATAAAGGATTGAAGATAAATTTGTCAATCCATAATCTTAAGGGAAATAAATTTTCAAAGAATTCATCAATCTTGGGTTCAATAATTGAGTTTGACCTTATAACATTAATCTTAAGCACAAAGGCTCTACAATATTTTTTCAGCATTTTGAATAATAAATAATCTAATCAACAACATTAACAACCATCATCTTACTAAGTTGGTCGGCTACATATATGAATCATTTTTCTTCATTATGGCCTATTAAGTGTCATATTTCCATTTAGTTATAATAATTTAAGATCATTTTCTTTACAACAAGCCCAAATTTTTTTAGGTCTAACTCTAGCTTTCTTAACAAAAGTTAAATCTAAAATATCTACTCTCCAAACAGGGCTATCAAATCCAAAATCTCAGCAATTATTTCTTTTTGAAATCAGATCTAAACCCTAACCCTTGTTACCACTACAGTACCATTATAGTACCTATGATCCTCTCTTCCCAGTCGTCACTCTCTCACCCGGCCACCGCTCTCTCTCTCTAGGTCGTGTCTCTCACTTCCAGCAAGCCACCGCATCAAGAACTTGTCTGTAAGTTGAATTAGCTCTTATAGGGGAGTGATACCCCACGAATCCCGAGGAAATGTTTGATATGAGGAGAATCTCAGCTTGATGATGAGATAGATCAAGATCAGGCCAAGAGAAGGAACGAATTAGTTGTGATGTGTGTTATCATACATGGATCCTTATAATTGAGGATGTTAGGAGATGAATATAGTGGGAGAGGTAAATAATTGGAGCTTCTGGAGAAGATAACTTCTGAAGTTCCGAAGATCTTGGTCGAGCTCATACATGAAGCTAGCGTCTCAACGGGAGCCACTACCTTAGCACGTGCTCCGGCACAGGTGAAGCTAGATCTCCCCCTTGTGGATTTGAAGCTTGATGGACTGACCATGTATCTGAATTAGTTGTGTCGGATCGAGGCTTCTCTAGTAAGGAAGGACTAGAGGGATATCTGACTTGGCTCAAGCCAAAGAGTGAGTGCTGAGTGGGATGAGTGAAGGGCCACACACGCCTTGCTTTACACTGTTTACTCAACTTGATGATTCCATCGATTGAATCATCAATAAATGACATTCAAAAGATGAGGGATATTTGCGTGAAGCTGAATTTATGTTGAAGTTGAGAACCACATGAGGGTGTTCCAAATTTAGCGTGAGATAGAGGTAATGATACAGAGTGATAGATCGATTTAGAAGTATTCCATAGATTTGGAACGGTTATGAGCAGATTTTGATCACTTCTCACTAATGTCGAGTTGTGGCGATCCACGATGCAAAAAGGGGGGATTTTTGCACAGATGAGGACAATGCAATTTCTGGATCATCTAAACCTGACTCCCTTTGATCAGAGGAGATCAGTCCTCCTAGCCCATACGAAGATCCCATCACTGGATGAGGACATTGCTGCGATGATAAATGAGGAAAGTCGCTTGAGGCAACACTCTGAGCTGAGTGGACTTTTAGGTATGTGATCAGCTTTGATTGCCTCGAGTTCAGGTATGACTGGTGTTTAAGGGTAAACTGACAAGTACTACAACTGTGGTGAATAGGGCTATCAAAAAAGCTCGATGTTCGCAAACAGTTTCTATTCGTCTCATCGGGGAGTTCGTATTCAATTCGTTCGATAAGCAAACAAGACAAACACAAACAATTTTTTTTCGTTCGGTTTATAAACGACCAAACACAAACAATCATTTGTTTGATCGTGTTCGAATCGTTAATTGTTCGAAATAAAAATAATTTAAAATAATTATATATATAAATTTATCATATTTTAAAAATAATTATATAGTCTAAAAATTTATTTTATTTTAAAAAATTAAATCCTATAAAGTATAATCTGACATTCAGGTTCGCCTCTTAGCTTATATTAAATTCTATAATTTCGTATTTATCTTTAGGTTCGTCTCTTAGCTTAAGTTTCCTTATATTTCTTTTAGATTTTTTTAGTTTCTTTGAGTGGAGTGAAACATAGTTTTTGGGAGTGAAATCTCGCATATTGCCTCTAGATCTTAATTTTTTATGAATGATAATTTTTTATGAATGAGATATAATATTATGGTTTTATTGTAAGCTGTGCTTCGACTATTTTACATTTGTGTTGTGATTCATACATGTTTAAGCATTGATTTCATATAGATTTAAATTTTTGAAAGATTTCAAACAATTCAAACAATCTAAACAAATTTGTAAGATTTTGAACAATTCATATAATTTGAATAATTCGAACATTTCAGACATTTCAAACATTTTCAAACAAATCAAACCAAACACGAACCGTAACTTCACGAACAATTTCAAACACGAGTCTATTTCAAACACACGTAATTTCAAACGAAGCGAACACAAACATGAGCTTTGTTCATTCGTGTTCGATTCGTTTACACCCCTAGTAGTGAAGTAGGCCATCTGAGCAAGGTTTGTCTTAGGCCACCAAATCAGAGAGATGGATGAACGTGGATAGTTTTGAGGCTGTAATCTTGGTCGTGTTGGTCGAAAAGGTGGAAGAGAGGGCTACCGGACAAATCTGATGATAGTAGAGGACGAGGGAGAGATAGGTGTGGTCTTTGCCAATGAGGATCACGAGTTTCTAAAAATGTTGAAGAGGAAGCATAAAGCAACTGGTTATGGGGTTGATGATGCATCTGTCTTGTCGTCATTAAGAGGTAACATTGATATTTATGTTCTCTTACAAATATACTTGTGTTGCCTATGTTGTTACCGTTATTTCTACCACAAGGTCACTAGAATGGATAGTATATTCTGATGCATCAAAACATGTGACAGGTACTGCTAGAAAGTTCTCTTCCTATACTCGCCTAGCAGATCCAAGGAGTATCCAGACAACATGTTGTTGATAAGAGTACAGTGAGGTGTACTGATTCTATGACTTTGTCCAATGTTTTGCATGTTCCTTTTCAGTTAACTTATTATCCATTAGTGTCATTATTCTCTAATTAAAATATATTATTTCATTTGTTATTTCTAAGGTGATCTTTCAAGAGAAAGAGATAGGCCAAACACGTGGGATTGAAACGTGGCATAATGTAGATGATGGACTCAGACTTGACATGCATGATAAAAAGTGATGGAGCAGTGGAGATCGGGGCGAATTATGGAGGATATGTTGTTGCTACATCACAGATGCATGAGATACTCTTATTTTAAATTACTGAGTTGATTGTATCTGTCTTTGTATGAAAAAGTAAATAAAAAAACTTATATGTGATGTTTTTGATTTGACAAGCTTACTAGAAGCTCTTATGTCAGTTATGGAATAATAGTTCGTATGTTTTTGATTTGATACATTTTGGTGTTTGGGAACCTTATTCTACGAGTTCGATGAATGATTATCAGAATTTTTGTGACTTTAATTGATTATATTTCTTGTGTTATTTGGTTGGATCTGATGAAAATAAAGGGTAATGTGTTTGCTTGCTTTAAAGATTTTCACAATGCAATTCAGACTCGATATAGTGCAGTAGTAAAGGTATTGAGGTCTGATAATGAGACAGAGTATACCAACAAGATATTTGGGGAATACTTATCAGCCCAAAGGATACAATATCAAATCATATGTCCATACACACTGACACAAAACATAGTAGCAGAGAGGAAGAATAAAAACCTTTTAGAGGTAGCCCGAAGCATAATGATCGCGATGAATGTCCCAAAGCATTTGAGTGGCCAAACATTTTTTACCGCTGTTTAATTAATCAACAAATGCTCTTGAGAGTATTGAATTGGAAGTCTCATTGTAAGAAGTTGAAAGGAGATAACAGTGAGATTCTTTCATTGAAAGTATCTGACTGTGTTTGTTTTGTGAATGACAGCAGACCATCCGTATAGAAGTTGGATTCCGAAGCTGTGACGTGTGTTTTCGTGGGTTATTCTGTTACGAAGAAGGGATATGTTTGTTGGAGCCTAATAGAGTGTGGCTGTTCGTGAGTATGGATATGTCCTTTTGAGAATTTGAATCGTACTACACCCTAGAGGTGACCTTACTCTTTGGTAACTCGCTAGATACAGAAGGTATGAGACGAGAGGGGGAGAGTAGAGATGCTGAGAGATTAATACATGTGGGAGCGATGCCTTATCCTATGATGTGGGATGAAGCTGTGAAGGTGTTGAAAAATGAGGAGATTGAACCTCGAGATGGTGAGATTCAGGCTCAAAGAGAGCTGAAGATGTATATAGGGAGGAGAAAATAAAATGAGGGAACAATGCCTGCAGTTCCATTCGTGTCAGCAAATCTCTTGTCCTAATCTATCTTAACTCTTGAGACACCTACACCATCCACCTCAGACTTAGATTACATAGGTGATATGATTGCTCATTCTTCTACTCACATGACTTTAAGAAGGTCCTCTTGCATAAATGCAGGACATCTGCTCGATCGTTTTAGTTTTGATTATGACATTGCTTAGTTTCTTTCATACTTTAACGTATTTTTAGACAATATCTCTATACGCAAGTGTCGGCGGGTACTTAAGTAGAATTCCAAGTGAAAAGTGGTCATGCATTGAAAGCTTGGGGCTCTCAATAAAAATCGAATATAGGAGATAGTGCCACTGCCAACAGGAAAAAGAGTTGTTGGGTGCATGCAGATCTTCATAGTGAAACAAAATCCAGAAGAAAAAGTGAAGCGTTACAATGTATGATTGGTGGTGAAACGCTACAATCAAACATATGAAATTGACTATGAAAAAATCTTTGCACCAGTAGCGAAGATGAATACAGTGAGGGCACTGGTTTCTTTGACAGTGATGGTGAGTGTATATTACACTAACTCAATGTGAAGAATGTGTTTCTTCATGGTGAGTTACTTAAGAAGATTTATATATAGATATCATCAGGATTCAACACAGGTCAGATAGTGGGCAAGGTGCGTAGACTCACGAAGTCACTTTATGGCTTGAAGCAATTTCCTTGAGCCTGGTTTGACAAGTTTGAAAATGCTATGGTGTGCATGGAATATCAACAGATCAATGTCGACCATGCATCGTTCTTTTAACAAAATAGAGGTCACACCAGTATGCTTGTTGTGTACGTTAATGATATGATTGTCACTGGTGATGATGAAACAAAGATTGCACAGTTAAAGGTAAGATTGGGCAAACAATTTAAGATGAGACCTTGGACCATATACTTCCTTGAGATTGAAGTGGCTTGTGGACCAGAGGGGATGGTCTTGTCTCGAAGGAAATATGTAATGGATCTCCTCATGGAAACATGCATGCTATGATCCAAGCATGCAGTATCTCCAATTGATCTGAAGGCCAAACTGAGTGCAAAGGCAGGAGAGTCATTTGATTGATCAGAAGGTCAAGCTGAGTGCAGAAGCAGGAGAGACAGCTGATCGTGAGAAGTAACAAAGATTGATGAGTTGTCTGATTTATTTGAGTCGTACTCGTCCTGACATCTCATTTGCAGTGAGCGTGGTGAGCAGCTATATGCATAACCCAATGAAGGGCCACATGGACGTTGTGTATCAGGTTCTAAGATACCTCAAGAGTGCACCAGGGATGGGGCTGATCTTCAGAAAGAATTGACATGCATGTATTGAGGGCTATTATGACTCTGATAGGGCGAGTTGTGATGATGACAGGAGGTCTTCATCTGGATATTGCATGTTTGTATGGTGCAACTTGGTCGCTTGGAAGAGTAAGAAATAGTCGGTTGTAGCGAGGTCAACAGCAGAGTTAGAGTACAGGACGGGCCATGGCCTTAGGAGTTGTCTGATGTGGCTGAGAGCCTTGTTGGTAGAGTTCAAGGTGGACCAAGGAGCACAAATGAAGTTCTGATGCGACAAGAAGTCAGCAATCAACATTGCCAACAACTCAGTGCAACATGATAGAACCAAACGTGTGGAGATTGATAGGTTCTTCAGTAAAGAAAAGCTGAATAACAGAATGCTGGAGCTAAGCCATGTAGCTACTAGAGAGCAAGTGATTGATTGCCTGATCAAAGGACATAGCTCATTAGATTTGTTTAGGTTTTGCGACAAGATTGGCTTAGTGGATATCTTTTGCCCATCTTGAGGGGGAGTGTTGAGATTTATATCTAGTTTAGGGTCCTATTGGTAAATAGGAAATATAGAAGAAATCTAGGGATTTATTTGTAAGAAAGTTGTAAGTCTCTATATAAGCTCAAGTCATTAATGAATAGAACAACTTTTTAGAGCAATTTTTTCTTTTGAAGACATTTTAGGAAGTAACCTATCACTAGTTTTGATAGAAATTTTATGGTAGGTACTTGGACGTGGCTTGCATTTTTTATGAAAATGAGTAACCATAAAAAGAAATTGTTAGGTTTTGAAAAGGATGGAATAGAATGCCAATGATAATCACATGAAGGATAAATCCAAATATGCTATATTCATTTATTACAGATTTAGATGACTATTTTAGTAACTATCAGAGATAAATACAAGGATTTGTAAATTTTTATATTAGATTTATTTATTGTATTATCTCCTTATAAGAAATTATTTCAACGTATAAGTCATGTGGTTGTAGTTATATTTTCATGATAAACAATTCAATGCACAAGATAATTGGTTGTGGCATTATGAAGTTGACGATACATAATTGTGTGATTATAGCATTAATAGTGCTCAAACATGCATTAGACATAATGAAAAATTTTGTGCATATAGGCATTCTCAGTGAAGCTAGATGCAAGTTCGTAGGAGATCTATTCTATGTTGCATGATGCAAATTCAAGAGAAGCTTCTTGAAGTTCATTGTTTATATTTGATCTCCGTTCCTCGGGGGATGTAGAAAAATGTTAAGCATCTTGGTTGCAAATTAGACTTTAGAACAAGTGAAGACATATGACGAGAGGAAAACAACTGAAGGTGATCAGGCTGATCGATTTCATTTTTGTGCATTCTATTCTAATGCAAGGTCAGACGCTTTTAATATTTAGTATGAGGAGATTATTGGTGGATTTATCTTTTTGTGTAAGGCCTGTGCTTCAGAAATTTCTCATGGGTGTTAAATTTCGGTATCACCTAGACATTGTTGAGGTTGTGTGGTGCTTAGTCTTTTGTGGTTTGAGTTCAAGATGCTTCATTTGGAAAGGATGCCCTAAGATATAAAATAAATTTACAAGTTATGAAGTCAGTCGGATGATTTATAAGAATTTACCAAAATAATTTTGGCAATAGGAGCACAGAATTGAAAATAGGTGATTTTATGATATACATAAATTATGCCTTCCTTTTTTGATAAAAAAGTTGTAAAATTTTGTTGAAAATTATCACTTTGGATAGCTTTGGATCAAAATTTAGATTTGATTGAGATTCAAAATTCACTAATTTATTTTCTATACAAAGGTGACTGAAAGGAGGATCAAATGTACATGAGTTGTGAAAATTTGCCCATAGCTTTAGTATTAGGAATTTAATTGGCTAATGAAAATCAAAGCCGCAGGCTCGGTGGGAAATAATGACCAAATGTTAGAAGAAGTGTAAGCAAGAAAGAGAGGGAAGAGAAAAAGTTGAGATTGAAGGAAAAGTTCGAGAGAAAAAGAGGAGAAATCCTATTTATATATTTATTTTATGATTATGGAAACTATCTTGTGCGGTGCAAGCATGTTCGTGCTAGTAGTAACATGACAGTTTCATATAAATTCATGGCAATACTATTTTAAGGAGCATTCAAGTAAACATCTATTAGTGCTATTTAAGTATTCCATTTTTTTCATCTTTGAACTCCTTTTTGTGGCTCTCTTGATTAGCTCGAGAATTTAGGGGCTTTTCTTTTGTTGTGAGATTATGTGCACTTTGGTTTGGGGAATGATATTTTCTCATGTGGTTATGCTCTTTTTATTTTTATATTGGAATTTTTTGTGTACTTGAGTTGTGAGATGAGATTCTCTATCCTCTCCCATGGGCAAAGGCTGTTGTTTTAACCTAACAATGTAAATCTTAGTATCTTCTTATGGTGGCTGATTATTCTCAATGTCTTCTTTATATTCATTTCTGGTTCGTGTTAATGCATAAAATCTTGGCCTTTTTATTACCTGGCCTTATTTATATAAATAGTTCATTCCCGTGGTGCTACATTAATTTTCCGTAGTTGCCTTATATCATCTCAAGACACTAGAGCATATATATACATATTTGTATGTCCATACTCATACAAACACAATGCATGCTCACACAAAGAGAGGAGTTTTTCTGTTCTCCATGGGTTTTTATCTGCATTTGTTTTTGGGGGATTTACATACATAGCACACAATTCTTATGTATTTACAGGGCTCACACTTAAACTTTCATATTTACATACATAACACTAAAATCTTTAATATCACAACAAAAATACCGCTATTACCACCTTTTAAAAATGAAATACACCTTTTCATGCATAGGTTTAAATCACCAAAGTTCTATATATGTACATATGAAAGGTTAGGTGTGAGATATGTAAATACATAAGAAATGTGTGCTTGGTATGTAAATTTCCCCTCTTGTTTTATTCATTATGGATTATCTGGCCTTTGGAATTTAGTTTCTAAAGGGGAATGGTATAGATGAAATTTATTAATTTGGTTCTACATTTTTCTGTTGGTCAGTACCAGGCCCTCATTTTTTCCTCCTGTTTCTTTCTGTGACTAATGTGCAGCTACCATCCAATTCCTATGGTATTTTCTCAAGCTAAGGGCACTTCTATATGGGATCCTGAAGGAAACAAATACATTGATTTTCTCTCAGCATACTCAGCTGTTAATCAGGTATTACTAGTCCAAAATGTTTTGTATTCTGCACTCCTCCAATCTTGCCATACCTTGGCTTTGTTGGCATTTATTTTCTATTACTATTGATTTCTAATTAATATGTTAAGTTGTTTCTTTTTAAATAATTGATTTCTAGTCTATCATTTGGATTTTAGCTTTCTTATGTTTAGTTCTCAGAATCTTCTTTGATTCAGTTTATTGATTTATCCTTTCCATCATCTATTTGGGGATTTTCTTAGGGGCATTGCCATCCGAAAGTTACGAAGGCCCTAGTGGAGCAGGCTCAAAGGCTAACTCTCAGTTCTAGGGCATTTTATAATGATAAATTTCCAATATTTGCGGAGTTCGTGACTAGTCTATTTGGATATGATATGGTGCTGCCTATGAATACAGGTGCTGAAGGTGTGGAAACTGCATTGAAGTTGGCACGGAAATGGGGTTATGATAAGAAAAAAATTCCGAAGGATGAGGTGAGGCAATTATTCAAAATGTGAGAATTGTTCCTGTAATTTTGTTTGCAATACAAGATAGTGAAAATTATATCTGTCATGCATCACCAATATGTACATTATATTAAGAATTCAAAAGAAATGGAATGATAATCCTTCATTTCGGATAATTATTGATGTCAAATTTTCTATTTTTTCAAAAGCATTTATAAAAGAACTCCAACAATTAAGAAATTTTTATTTTAGTAGGAGATTGAATTATTAAAACTGATAGATGCACCAATAGGGTATTCTTCATTGTGCATATTTATCAGCTTAACCTTGTATTCGAACAAGTCAGTGTCATCATCTCGGCCTAATAAAAAATTCTTGTGTTTGATGCCTCCTTTCAATCCTAAGTCTGGCATGCACATATCTTTTACTAAAACATCTGGCCATACAAACTTTAGCCTAATCTTTTTTTATTCCTTTCACATGAATTCTATCAAGCAGCCTTATTAGTAAATATTTTACCCTTCTAACTCAAGACCAAACCAGTTAAGTCTATTTTTCATATTTTATCTTCAATATTATTACTCATAAATGCCTCTATAGCATTATTATTTTTCACTCCATTTCTTTTAACTGTTACACATTTATCTTAGCATTTTTGTTATACAAAACTCAACTTGGTTCTCAATGATATTTTTGTCACTCAACTTATTGATTAATAATAGTTGGTAATTTTATTGTGGCTAATATAGTTTACATGCATGTCTTCTTTATTTTCTTTTATTATATAGTACTTATGAAACTTCTTATTTCTAGTCACACAAATTTTACTCTAAATATTATGTCATCATTTATCTCCCAATTCCTTGATAATAAATCAAAGGTGTACTTAAGTTTATAACATTTAGAATCACTTGTTATACTACTTTTAATTGATATGTTATGAACTGCTCCTGCTAAAATTAGATTTATGTATTTCATATTTTATTTTAGTGAGCTAAACCATTATCTTCTGAAAAAATTTCCATAATTCTAATTATTGATGCACTAAAAAAATTCTTTCTTCTTCAGAACCATATCATCAACAAATTAGCATTTTTTTGGGCCCCTCTTGTTAATAAATTATTTTTTGCGCCAGCATAAATCATACAAAAGGATATGAAAGATGTGTTCATTGTTCATGTGATCCTACTATGATTATAAACTTTTTAATCACTTTACAAGACTTTTATTGTTAGTGACTACATAATTGATGCAATTAATAACATTATTTATTTTTTGTAACACATCTTTCTGCTTATTGCCCACCAAATTATTTTTAATATTACAAAATCTTTATGCATTTCCAAGATCAAAATGAACTTTACGAAAATCTTTTCCAAGTACTATATATTTTTCATTAATTTTCTTGGAATAAAATTTGTTATATTTTTTTGACATGAAACAGATTGATTATCTAATATTAACATGTTTTGTTTGTTTTGCTTCTGTTATTTTCTCACATTGTTTTATTATAAATTTTTTACATTTGTTTCTGCACAATTATCGTGATATTTATTTTTTTTGCTTTTGCATGCTGGTATTAAACTATATTGTGTCGATCATTTGACTTTTTTTGTATTTATTTTGATTACTTTAATCACTAACCTTATTCCAACTATTTGGGATTGACTTTATTTTGATTATCATAATCATTTGACTGCTACATATAGTTTTAGGTTCACTTTGTGCTTTTTTTTTGCATAAGTTATCCTTGTTGTCTTCGTTCTTTTATGCAGTGCACCGTGCTCACCATTAACCTTCATTAGCAGTTATGTATGTTATAGTCTTGATCTCATACAATTAGGACATGTTTGGGTGTGTTTTATCTCTTTTTTCTTTTCGACCTTAGTATTGTTAGGATTTTAAAGTCTTGCAATATTTTGGTGTTTGAGTAGTTTGGGCCATTCATTGTATTTAGGCCATGTCATGCATCATTTCATGTATCATATGTTTGCGAGCTTGAGCTTAAGCCAATCTAACTACTCCAGCCATTTACCTAGCCCACATTGCTCTATTTTGACCCTGACCACCAAAATTGATCTCTACATCACCATTTTGGTAGACAATTTTTTTCTTGTCATTCTCATCACCATGAACCACACCAAACACTCTATGTAGACTACTTGGAAATCGTAAGGGATGTTGCAAAACTCCCACCATCACTCCATTTTCCATGCAAAAAATGTGTATCCTCTCCTCTTACTTTTCTTGGTTTGGTTCTTGTTCAATCTTTATCTATATCACTTTGTGTGGAAGGAAAAGGATGATGAATGTTCAGTGAATTTGCTTTGATTACTTTTTACACTTAGGTCTGTAGTTCACCTCTAAGTGAGAGAGTACTTAAGAGTGTAGTTAGTGTGGCCTTCGAAAAAGGATTGTCATGATAGGAGGATTTAATCCAGGATGAAAAGTTGCTCGTAGATAACAATCTTTGGTCATCATAAGTTATTGTCCGACATCTAGGCTTTTGTTGAACTTCTTTTCTTGGTGTTTCATTTTTATTGCTTCTCGTTTTATAAGCTTGCAAATATCATTTTAGAGCTCAATTTATCACACAAAATACCGAAATATTTTTTTTTGGATTCAACCATTAGCTCTAACCCACGTACAACCAGTCTTACTGTTAGTAAGTTTGGTTTGATCAATTTATGTAGTTCTATTTAAGCATTTATTCACATTGTATTTTTAGTGTCTTACATCACTTTCTTTTTAAATTTTGATTAATTCAATACACATTTCTTGTTGGCATGTATCTTCACCTAATTTTATGAGTTTTATACAGGATTTTTCCCATATAATAAATTCTCAATCTATCTTTTCAAATCTTATTACTGTTGGCATGCGGGAAATTGTTTTTGGGAAGTTTTAATTCATAAATATATCAAATCTTTTGATATGAGGATCCAATTTAGGAATAGAATAATTCCTTTGATATGATTATCCAATTCAGGAATAGAATAAATCTCTTAATATGAGGATCTAACTGGGGAAGAGAATATTTTAGTTCTTATTATTTCTTTATATTTCTAGTTTCTATATATATTCATTGTACAATATATATAAATTAGTTAGAGTGCTTATTGAAAGAGAGACCAAAATTTCATTCCACTTTTTTCGTAATGGTATCAAAGACCTATGTTTCACGCCTCTGGGAATTTTTAGGCCTTCATTGTTGACTTAATTTGGATTTTATTTCGATGTTCTTTTCTCTCTTTTTCATGTTGAGAAATTCTTCACAACTGTTATTTTTTTTTACGATGTCTGAGATTTTTGAAACAAACATCCCTTTTCAATCTGACGAAGGAGTACAATAAACCCATGTTCTTCTTGGTGAGTTGCAAAATCTACATAAGTCTTCTACACTCAATGGGCAAAATTGCTTAAAATTATCTCTTGTTGGCCATACTTATCTAAAAGGCAAAGGAAAAATTTGGCATCTTCTCATAAGACCGAAACGGGATGATCCGAATTTCGATACCTGAGATGAAGATGGCTCCATGATTATGACTTGTTTATGGAGTTCAATGATGCCAAAAATTAGTGATATACGTATGTTTTTCACATCTATAAAATATATTTGGGATGCCCTTCACCAAATATACTTGAAGGCTAAAGATGTTGCCAGTCTGTATGAAGTCAAAATAAAGACTTTTGCTGTGAAATAGGGCAATAAAACAGTACTAGAATATGCGAATATGCTACAAAATCTTTGACAAAACCTCAACCATTATAGGGGTTTTGAGACAAAGTGCCCTGAGGATATCACTATCTTGAAGAAATATATTGAGAAAGATCGAATGTATGATTTTTTTGGTTGGCTTAAATGCAAAATTTGATCAGGCCTAGTTTCAAATTCTTGTTGAGGAAGATCCCCTTTCACTCAATGTGGTTATCGCTTTAATTTGGATTGAGGAGAGTCGAAAATGCATTATGCTTAAACTGGTGACAAGTGAAGGATCTGTCATGGTTGCATATTATGAGATCAACAAAAATAAAGTAAATGGGCGTCCCAAAATGACCATCGAGATAATCTTTGGTGCAGATACTGTAAGAAGCAGAGATATATTAAGGATCTTTTTTTAAAGTTGCACGGGAAATCTACTACTTCAAACCAAGAATGGGGTTAGCGAGGTGATAAAAAAGTTCAACAACAAACTCATCAATTATCCACCACAAGACCTACTTTACAAAATCAGTCCCACAGACTACTGTAGAGGCTACACCAAGGAAACTTAATCAGAGGAAGATTGAGAAGCTTTGAAATTTGTTAGGATCATTAGAGTAACCAAGTGGCTCTTATTCATTGGCATAATTTGGTAAGTCCCTCTCTTATGTATTACATGCCTTGAACTAGTTTATGCAAGGCTCGTATGTCATTGATTCTGGAGCCACAGATCACATGACACTTTTCTCAGTCCATTTTACAACATATTCATCTTGTCCTAGCAATAGGAAAATTGTTGTTGTTGATGGTTTTGTTACTTCAGTGGCAGGTGTTTGTTACATTTAGTTGAGTTCGTCCTTATTATTAAAAGATGTGCTTCATATTCCTAAATTGTCCACACTAGTCTTTTATCTATTCACAAACTAACTCATCATATGAACTGTAATTTGTTGTTTTAATCCATGTTACTATGTATTTCGGGATCATGATTCAAGGTCGAGTATTCGAATTGCTAATGAAAAGGGTAGCCTTTACTATCTCGATACATCAACCACATACCTACTATTAAGTATGTTTTTTTTTCAAAGTTATGTTGTTTTGTTTCAAATAAAGATATGACGTTAGTACATTCGTTTGGCCATCGTTCATTTACTTTTTTAAAGACAATGTTCCCTTTTTTGTTTAAGGAAATTAATATTAAGGATTTTCATTGTGATGTATGTGAATTTGCAAAATATAAAAGTGTTTCTTTTCCAATTAGTGATGATAGAAGTTCGTTCCCTTTTTATTTGATTCACGCTGATATATGGGGTTCCTCTAGATA